CTGAACCTTGGGGATACGGGTGGAGCCTCCAACAAGGACGACATCATGTACAGTGCTTTTGTCCATCTTGGCATCGCGAAGACACTTCTCAACAGGCTCCATGCACTTTCTGAAGAGGTCCATGTTGAGCTCTTCAAACCTTGCACGGGTGATGGTAGAGTAGAAATCAATACCCTCGTACAGAGAGTCAATCTCAATGGTGGTCTGAGCTGTGGACGACAGGGTCCTCTTAGCTCTCTCACAGGCTGTTCTCAACCTCCGGAGGGCTCTCGGGTTACCACTGATGTCCTTCTTGTTCTTCCTCTTGAACTCCTGAACAAAGTGGTTGACCATTCTGTTGTCAAAGTCTTCACCACCGAGATGAGTGTCTCCAGCAGTGGCTTTAACCTCGAAGATACCCTCTTCAATAGTGAGAAGAGAGACATCAAAGGTACCACCACCGAGATCAAAAATCAAGACATTCTTCTCACCAACACTGGTAGCCTTCTTGTCAAGACCATAGGCAATGGCAGCAGCCGTAGGCTCATTGATGATACGCATGACATTCAACCCAGCAATGACACCGGCATCCTTTGTGGCTTGGCGCTGGGAGTCATTGAAGTAAGCTGGAACAGTGACCACGGCGTTCTTAATAGTGGTACCAAGGTAAGCCTCAGCAATCTCACGCATCTTGATAAGGACCATTGATGAAATCTCCTCAGCAGAGAACTGTTTATCTTCGCCCTTGTAGTTGACAACAATCATGGGCTTGTCACCAGGACCAGGAATGACTTTGAAAGGCCACAACTTGGCATCACTTTGTACAGAAGCGTCACTGAATCTACGACCAATCAACCTCTTGGCATCTGTCGCATAGGTGGCAAAACAACAATTTCGGAAACGTCAAACTAAGAAGACAGAAAACAAATCGAGGAATAAGCTGGACTTCCTACACTGTAAAGCAACAGGAACCGACCTACTCTGAGACATTTACCGTCACAGGATATCCGATCAAGCTGCCAATAAAGGACTTAAAGAACGCATTCAACCAGAACAGCCTAGATACGATACGCCTAGCAGGATTTACGTAAAAGACTAGTATCCTGATTCACCGTAACGAAAGTTCGACCCTAAAAATCAACTGTACATGTCCCACCATACAAAAACAAATCATCCAAAATCGAGATCTACCAGAAGCATCAACAAACTGACGATCTGATGAAGAGAAAACAACAATCATACCGAATACTGTGTTGATTGGGTTCATGGCGACCTGGTTCTTTGCGGCGTCTCCAATAAGACGCTCGGAGTCGGTGAACGCAACGTAGGATGGGGTCGTTCTGTTACCCTGATCATTGGCTATGATTTCAACACGATCGTGCTGCCACACACCGACGCACGAGTATGTAGTTCCGAGATCGATCCCGATCGCAGGACCTTCTCCTTTACCAGCCATTGCAGCGCAGAAGCGATGTACGAGAAACGAAGAAAGAATGACAGATCTAATAGAGAAGAGACGGCTAGGGTTTGCACTGAAAAGAGACCTGAAGAGAGAAGCTTATATAGGGGTCGTGGGGCAAGTGGCTGAAGGTTTCGAGAATGTTCGGCGGCTTCTCATTTGACCGTCCGATCTCAAAAATTTGATCGGACGGTGTAAGGTTGTTACATGACCAATTCCAAGTAATTTGCATTTTTAAAGCGTGTCGGTCCACCAGATGTGGATCCCATTGGGCCAATATTATATAGGTCGGCGCTTTAGAGCGTTTTTATTGCAGGAGCGAACCGTCTTACGTTGTCTAAAAACTACGCAAGCTATTAGGTTTCTGATCTTTCCTTATTATTATCTTTTTTTTTTGGGTTCGCAAAGATCTTAAATCAAATATCACAACGTTAGTAGTATAATTATCTCTTCTTTTCTACGATCATATATGTCTGACACTATTTTAGTAGCATACATTTCATGACACACTGATCATGCCCACAACCATGGCCAAGCACATCACACCTATTGCCACCTCCTTGAGAGAAGAAAGAATCGACCACAATCACCCATGTATTATGCTGCACATTCCCCATTAGCATCACCCTTCTCCTGGTTACATCCATAAGCACCATTACTACTGTCCACTCACCACATCTGTGCCATCATCACCATCGTTGTCGTCATCATCGTCGTCGTCATATGAACTCTCATCACTGCCCTCATCATCATTATCATCCACATAAAACCCAGGAGGACTGTATAAATAGTTATCTTCATCCTCTTCATCAGAAGAGCCTGCCAAAAGAAACCTACTGGAGCGGCCATGGATTGAAGCCTGTTACAACAAGACATATATACACAATTAGTTTTATCACCCACTCATATTTCAGGTACATTTACTAAACCATAGCCAGATACTGAGACCACAGACCATCCTTTCAAATTATAACCTAGTCTTCATACCCAAAATGATTGATGAAACAGATAAAATTACAATTTCCCATAAAATCTTATACCAGACTTGTATTTTCCAGCAAAGTGGTTTTCTCACTGCCCTCCGGAGTCCATATCTTGATATCAGTCTCGGTTCCACTGCTACACAGCAGAGGCATGTGAGGATGAGAATCTACACAGTTCACAACATGTGCATCCGCTTCCATGGCACGAATGAGCTCGCTGTCCTTCTTCCTCCAGATGAATAACCGGCCACAGTCAGAGCCACTAACAACATACTCAGACTTAGGTCCAAAGAAGTTAACATCTTTGACTGCCGCACGGTTGCTGTGCCCCTTGTAAACCCGAGGAGATGCCCTCCTGTAATTTGCTACATCAGAATCGTTCTCATCAACTGAGGGTGGAGAATGCGGGTTGGTCCCCAAGCCCATATCATGGGTGAACAGATAGATGATCTCATCACTGTACGAAACCAGGAGCTCACTTTGATGAGAGAATGTCAAGCCCGTTATTCCTATTTGTTCGTCTCCAATCAAATGGAGAGGACAAAAGTGCTCTACAGGTTGGCCAAAGTTGTACCAACCATCTGACCTGTAGCTGCGAATGTCATAGACTCGAGCATACTCATCCATACCACCCACTGCGAAAAGATTTGGATTCCTTGGGTCAACAGCAATCGCATGCAAGTAAACAACTAACTTGAGCCGTGCCTCTTTGCAAGTGAAAAGATTCGTAGCCACCCGAGTCCTTAGATCAAACTGAAAATCAAAGCATTATTTTGTCATAGGGATCTATACTCAACATCGCCGATAAACAAAAGACAATACAACATCAATCGCAACAAAACACGAAGACAAATAAGCAGATGGCTATAACTCACATGCTTTACAACTCCATCACTACCGCAGCTATAGAATGAAAACGGACTTCCAGGTTCAATAGCCAATTTATGGGCCTGTCCTTGATGTCCGCCCAACAAGGAAGTCTCTACTCCAGATTCTAGAATTTTGGCATGCCGGACCTGGAATTCCAGATTTTGCAGTTAAGGGGAAATATTATGCTGAATTAAAAGGAAAATGATTACCGAAAGAGAACCTATTTATAGGTAACGGGGAAAGAACAAGAGTGTAGTTTTAAACCAGAACGATCTTGGATGTAGTATGTAGAATTACCCCACACTACGTTGTTACAATGCTGTAGTTTTAAACCAGCAAGAGGATGCACCTGTCCATCAGCAGCGCATGTGACGATGCTGTGATCATCAGAGAAAGGCATGAACTTTGCTTGAAATACATTGTTGGTGTGGCCTGAACTGAATGAGAGTTTGACACTCCCAGTCTCCCAATTCCAAAGTATAACCTGCCTGTCGTCAGAACCTGAAACCAAGATATCGCCATCTGCATTGAAGCTTACCGTGCGTACAGAACCTCTATGCATCTGCAGCTTCCTGTGGAGCCCAAAATGCCGCAATAGATCCTATTTACACAAAGATCTTCATCCAATCAATGGCCCGATTTGCTGTAAATTGCGATCAACCTTCTCTGGAGATCAATCTTAATCAGGAAACTAGCATCAAATTCTAACCCAGGTATGGGGTGATTCCCGAAGCCGAGACAGTGGATATAAAGCCAACCATTAGAGATAGTCTTCCTAAAAAGGAGTTGAAAAACAAACCCAACATAGAAGTTTTAAATACATCACATGAAAATTGCAAAAGAGGAACGATCTTCAACCAGAGAAGCAGCCCAACGCGTTTCTAGTTAGGGGGAAAAATAAAGAGAGACCTCGGAAGCTGAAAAGCGCTGGGAGAAACTCCTGTTGGGCAATAATCCAAGCTCGCGTTTCGAGACATCAACCACAGAATGTTCCGTCCTCGCCCTCTTGGCCGTTCCTCTGCTCATTTTTTCGGGAAAAATAAAACAGCACACGGACTTAGGGTAAGACTACGCCGTGGACGTCGGGCCGCGGGCGAGCAGACACGGGTAGAGGCGGAATTTGTCCCTTGAGATCAAGAAGGCAAATAATTATACACCTGGTGCGTAAAGGATTTTGACACGTGACACCCCCAAGGATTTCCGTCTTTTTTATTTCCTCCGTGTGAAAAACACAAAAAATGCCATCAGCTTAAAGTAGAAAACAACTCTATATTTCTGGGAAAAAAAGTAAAGGTACAGAACAACGGAAGAAAAATATTAAAATTGATGCAATCTGGAACTCGTATATAGCATATAGGGAAAAGAGAAGAATGGAATTTATAAAAAAAAACCAGAAGCATATATTCCGAGATGGATAGGGGGACAGAGATTGAGAATAGAGGGTTTAAGAAATGATACCGCATTTCACGATGTTGGGATCACACTCATTATGGAACTTACTCGGGAGGGGCTTCAGCAGTGCACTCCATCCAGTTACTTTATACGAGTTTAGCATATGCTGCATTCAGATGGCGATGACGTTTCCTCCGAGTTCTGGAGCATAAACACGGCTTTCAAACTCTCCAAACTCTGGGAAGGAAAGATGTATTCTGGCTTCTTGGACAACAAACTATTAGAGTAGATCAACAAAAAAATATGCAGTATAGTTTGCAGTTCCTGAGCAAGATTGAGATTACTCAAAAAAAAGCATCATATGGTTCAGAACCATGGCATCCACCAGATGTACATCTTCCCAAGATTCTTGAGTGAGACAGCCTCAGCAATCAAACGACGAGCCTGGCCTTCTACAGCTAGTGGCAAAGAAGGTGCTGCTGCAACACCAACAACCACACCCCGCAGTCGGGCTTCAATGTTGCTTATGGCCCGCTGCAGTTGTCAAAGCGCATGGTTGTTTAATCAACTGAAAAGAAGTCTGGTAAAAAAAAATGTATTGACGATGCAAACCTGAGCATGTGGATTCTGAACTTCTACCCCACTTGACTTGTGTGATTTTGTCCACTCCACGAGAGGATCATGAATGAAGGTTTCCAGGACGCTCATCAAAGTCTCCCTGTGTGTTCTCAATACAGTGAGGGTGATTTCGCAGACTCTCATGAAGATGCCCTCATACCCGGTGATACCCAAGCCATCAATCATGTTCTGTGGTATGATGAAACAGTGTTCACAAGATTATCACCAAAGTTCCTAGTAGTAGTCAATAAAAGGATAACAAACCGGAACATAAAAAGGGAAAATACTAAACAGGAAGACAAGAAAGAATTCGTGTTTTCTTGCCTGGGTCAGTCTGAAAGGCACCAACTCAGGTTTCTCCAGTTGTAAGCCTTTGTCAAATAAGCAACTGAAGTCAACATGAACACAATCGCCTGAGGTAGAATCAAAGAGAATATTTTCTCCATGACGGTCGCCAAGACCAACAATGTGTCCAACCATGGACCAAACTGCAGTGGTGTGAGCATAAGCTACGCGTGCCCTAAACCATGCTGCTGGTTCAGAAAATGTGGCCAAGAACCATTTATGGAAAACTGGAGGGAACATTGGGAGGATCTTGGTCTTCAGCATTTCATCCTCTGGCATTTTGCCCACACACTGATCGTAAATCCTTTTAATTTGAGGGTTTGTTTTCTGTCGGTCAAACTTCCCACAAGATATGTATATGTCTTGTAGGATATGACGTAGTCCACGAGTATGTGGGACCCACTCCACCATACCACAGTCCTCAGTTAAAGGAATCACTGCAAAGGTGCGGATATAAAGCTTTCTTCTCCTGCTTTCAAGATATTTGCATAGTAACCGGTTTATCATCGCAGTAAACTCCATCATGCGGGCATCTTTCCTGAGATCGTCCTTGGGCTTGCACAGGAATGGATACTCAAGACCATCATTTCCCAGCAGAACAACCTGGAAAGAAGAAATGAAATCTTTTGGTACTGAAAGGTGTATGGTGGGAGAACTTCTTTTTGAGGACAACATGCTCAAGAAAACATGTATAAAACAGTGGCTTCTTCCAAACAGGACTAGTTCTCATTTTCGCATAGAACAAGATGGAAAAGCATACCTTCTTGGGTTTCTGAAGTGACGAGAGTATCTCTGCCTCATCAGCTATTCCAGAAATAGTTGGCAGATCTGACCCTGAAAAGACACTGGCAGAGAGTGATTCATTGTTGTTCATATCGAATGCTGGCAGACTAATGGTAAGAGATTGTTGGATTGGCATGATCACATCCAAAGGCATCATTCTTTTCAGAGCACTAAATTCGGTTGATATATTGATAGTCTTGGATCTTGGTTGTCCCCCATGGAAGCACAGCTTTATCAAATGATCAGTCAAACTAGCAAACTGAAGGAACAAACTGTGGCCTCCATCTCCTTGGTTGAAACCTTTTCGTGCAGCTTGTATGATTTCTGCAGCTGCTTCCCTCCTAGCAGGAACAGTAGATTTTGAAACCGCTGCCATAATCCAGAGCCCTTGCTGTGGATATTGACGTAGAACAGAAGTGATGATATGTTTGACCAGTCGTACTGTTTCATCGTTCTGGTGACAGATTCTGGAAACCAACTGAGGCAGTACGGTTAGCCATTGATAAGTTGGTAAATCTTTCAAGCAGCCTCTAATTATACTCATAACCTGCCAAGAGAATCACCAGTATCTCAAAAATGAAAAGTACTGCAACAAATAGTAAAGTGCAGTAAAAGAGAGAGATTTCAGTTTAGCTCATTGTACCCACCTTCCCATGAATACTTTTCAGTTCCTTATTGGCTGCAGAACTGCTAGTATGGTAGATACTACCAAATTCAAACCATAGGGTTAGCAACCTCGGAAGTGCTTGAAAGAGATTCTTGTGACCTCTGTGAAGTCCCTTGGCATAGAATAACAGTACATCAGGTAGGTAAAACCACCATGCTTTTTCATTGTTCAAGTTTGAAGAAGCAGAACTTTTTCTGCTGCTTACAAAGCTCTCTTCTTGACGCTTTCTAGCATCCACAAGCACTTCATCGCAATACTTTGCCATATGGAAGTATCCCTTTTCCCACTTGGGCTGCAATTCCCTCACCCGGGAATAAAGACTTATAACATCTTCTTTTTGTTTCTGCCCGCTGTAGTGAATCCATTTGGAATACAAAAGAAGAGTCTTTGCAACATTTCTATTTTCATTCAAAGATTGTGTGTTACGAACCACTTGCTCTGGAATTGGTGGAACCATTGATAAGCTATTAATTGAAGAAATTACAGCCGAGCCAACAACTTCTTCAGGCATATTCCGGAGAGACTGTTGCAGCTCTATAATGGCACTATCTGAACGCCTAGTACTCCAAAGAAGTTTCGCCTTTTCCATGTGAACATTAGGTGCCCCTGAAGCATGTGCTTCCAAGATTGCCCTGTTTGCTGTCTCATAGTGTCCAGCCAAACGACAGAGCTTTGCATACTGAAGCCAGCAGTTACCAACTTGGGCTCCAAGACTACTGGCACCAAAGACAAGTCTTCGGAAAGCTAAGAGAGGTTCCCTTGCCCAGAGTGATGATTGAGTAAATCTGAGCCGGTTCTCCCAATTATTGACTACTTTTGAAAACACTGAATTACTTGCACTAAATGATTTTTCCAAGAAAGATTCCCCATTAAGAATAACTTGGAAGTCCTCTAGCTCCCTTAGCAAGTGAAGTTTGACAACAAAAGGATAAGCCCGTGTATATGAATCCATGCCTGCAGCAGCTAGTGGAGCAATCAGAGCTTGTTTGGAAAGTGCAATTCTCTCAGCTACTAAGTACTGATCCTTCTTCATCATTGCTTGGAGAATCTTTGCAACATCTCTCTCGAAAGAGGCATTACTGTCCGAGCTACTGTACAGCAAACCTTCTTCATCAGCTCCACGAAGATACTCATCCATCAAGTCCCACTTGCCCAATCTCCATGCAGCCTGTACACCTTGTGTGCACCAGGTTTTCTTGTACTCCGGTATTCTGGAAATTAAACCGTCCACATGAGTTACCATTGCTTGATGGTGACACATGTTAAGCAAGCAGTTGAGAACATCTGAATGTCTTTGAACTGATGTTGGTTCCATTTGAAGTGCTTGTTCACATGCGGTGAAAACTTCTGCCCAGTTTCCAGACTTCCTATTTATCAGTAACTGATCTTGCAAACTTAACGATTTGCTTAAACTTGCAAAGCCTGATAAACCATCGGGCTCATCAAGGTAGCTGTATATTTCCATCAGATATGAAACATCTGCGTCTTCAAAGTTGCCCGTCCTCTCAGCGGCAGGATTTAAGGAGCCTGATCTTCCACGTACATGGGATTCGAAATACATCAAAGACCTGGCATAAGCTTGACACCTGAAGGATGCTCTAGCAAGGATAACCTTGGGAATTGCAAGCAAAAGCTCCGAAACATATTTGCATTGTACAAGCGATTGATCTTGTTCCATGGTTGAAGTTGAAGCCCGGTCCTTTGATTTGGAAGTTACTTGCCTAGAGGTTGATGATTGCATAGACAGTGATAGTGCTACATCCTGCTTCACATCATCAACCCATTGGCCAAGATTATCAAGAAGTGTGAAGACAGCCTGAACACAAACTTCACTCTGCCCAACACCAACAGTGTTTGAACCTGCCTCACTGTATTCCATAGCTGCTGCATCAAGAACAGAAAGGATCTCTTCTGAAATGCTGTGACGTGCTTCCTCAGTCCCATGACAAACAACATCAAGTACTAAATATGGTAGAAGATAAGTAGCTGTCTGCATATCGTGGCGCACTATACCTCGACAAGCAGCAAATATATTTGCACGGGATCCCGTTGCATGCACTGTCAATTTCTTTATCCAGTAGAATAGCCACCTTCTGAATGACATAGAAGGTCGATAAATTGGTCCAGCCGACCCAGGGTCAGACACATTTGGAAGCTGAAACCTTGACGTCAAACACGGGGCTATTATTTCCTTTACATAATTTGAAAATCGATCCCATAATTTCTGTCCCCTTTTGTTGAGCTCACAGCTATTTCCTGAGCTTTTAGCACCCAATGCATTTGGATGCAAAGGTTCATTTGATATAGAGAGACCAACATTCAAGGCTAACGATGGCTCACAACCGGCAATCTTTAGTAATTCCTGTATAGCAAGTGCAGCTGAGTCTTGAATGATGGTATCTGGTGCAGCTCTGAAAGCCCTTGCCAAGTGTTTGTGTATTAGCTCGAAAATAAGATCATCATCTGAGCATTGGATTTTAAATCGATGGCACAAAGTACCTCTCACTTTGGCAGGGTCAACAGCACCAAGTGCTCCTAGACAATCAGCACAGGCCAACTTCAACCTCTGACCAACTGAAGTTCGCGATTCTTCTGCACATCCTTGTAGTAAAGATGTGATCAGAGAACTCAGGATTTCCATGTCTGAGATTAGTTCACCAGTGATCAGAGCAGCAACATCTTCTTTTCTATGATACAGCAATTTGCTTACCTCACATGCCACCATATACCTGACATTCAAGTTTTCATGTTTCAGGCCTGTTACAATATCTCTCAACTGATCCTTCAACGTCATTGACCCACGGGCCTCTTGAATAGCATTGTTCACTTCTGCTAAAGCAGGTATGCTTGGTAAGAGGGGAAATTCACATATATGCTGCTTCAGGGTTTCCCTGTTCTTCAGTACAAGTTCTTCAAGAATTTTCACCACTTTATCAAAATGAATCGATGGACCATCCTTCTCTCTCTCCAGAAAGGGTATGAGGGCCGCAAAAACTTGAGAAATGACATGTTTTGCGCTGGATGGTGACACAGCCGCTAACTTCTGTGTGAAAAAGTGCAAGACCGAGAGACCCTCGCTTTGAAGTGCCTCTTTATCTATAGCATGCATGAGAAGAACCATAAGTTTTGGCACATATGTGCTCAGATAATGGCCCATCATCTCAATGAGTAACTTGATGCGCTTCAAAGCTTCTTTCTGAAGCAAAACATCCTCTGCATGAAGCATCTTTCTATCAATACTGTTAAGGAGTCCAACAAAATGATTCTGCAAAAATCCAGGAAGATCTTCTGCATTTGTTAAAATTTTTGAAATTTTCTTTATTGCCTCTGGAAGTCTCTCTAACCTGCATAAGCAAAATGTTGAAATCAATCAACAAGGTGCAATAATTGAATTCTTTTTCAGTCACATGTTTTAAAATTAAATCCCCCAATAGCTTAATTAAACATCTAAATGAAAGACAGACTCCTATATGAAATTTTAGATGCATAAAGGTAGCAGCACATTCCTGGATACATTCAAGAAAAACCAGGAAAATGTTGTCCCAAAATAAAAACAAAAAGTTAAGAACTTTTATGCCAGATTCAACCACCACATTCTGCTCTGCAAGCCTGAAATCACATCATTCATACCTTCTATCAGTCTCTGGTATATCAGCGATTTCCACAAAGCATACAAGCTCATCCAAAAGAGCAGGTAATGCAGCTGCAAAGATCTCTTGGTTGTCCGATCCAATCTGCGAGTGATACAGTTGCAAAACAGAGAGCAAACCGTTCTGTTCTTTTTGATTGAGAGCAAAAGCAAGCACTCTAGGTAGCCAATTAACTATTAGAGGTACCACATCAGTGTCTAATAACTGGGACAGCTTGTTCAAGATATCAAATGTTTGATCATTGTCCTGCCAAGATACCAAAAGCTTAGGAAGGATAATAGGAACCATTTTCCTAGCAAGTTCTTCAGTCTCAACTCCCAAAACAGCCTCTGCAAATTCTATTACTACATGGGGACGCCTAATTAGCCTAACAGACAGATAATCAAATAGCTCATTCTGGATGTTAGCAGCTCTTGAGAGTAGTATTGCAAATCCTCCTTTCACATGCATGTAGCAAGATTGGTTTATCGCACATATGCACTGCACAGTGCAGCCTGCATACATAAAAATGCCAAATGAATTGTTAACAGGTTGTTGAAAGAACAACTATAGCAAGAAAACAAAAATGACCGAAAAAACAGGGAATCAATCATGTCTAAGGACAAAGAGAACCACACATACCTTAAGTTCCTCACTCTTTGTTCTCCGCATTGCTTGAGGGAAGACCAACGCTAAACTTTCTGCAGTTAGCTTGACGTCGGCATCAGAGCAGCTGGAATATACTGACATAAGGCAACGGCCGATGGTGGAATCATACATCACATTTCTGCATCATAAACCCACAACTTAAAAAGTTGAAGGTTAATCAACATATACCATATATATTGCACACTAAAACTATCAAAAGTTGACTACAAGCCTAAGAAATGCAATAATATACAGATATTCCAGGAAGTTCACAGGGAAAGGTAACACACTTTTGGGGGGGAAAATAGCTTAATTAGAATCATGAAAGTAGAAACAGAGAACTCAATTTTGATATCTTGGGGCACACACCTGTATGCAGGAAATCCTTCACCGTCTGATCGTAAAAGGAGGATGATTGACTGTATTAAGCCCACGTGAGGAAGGATGTTAAAATTGAGTATTGATCCGGCCAAGCAGGAAAAGAGACAACAAGAAAAGCTCACAGTTAATATTAACAGATACCAGAACTTCAGCAGTGGATTCCAGAAGAGTCTGGATGACAAGAAGTTCTTTAGCTGCTGCCAGAGCATGCTCAATAATTTCATAGAAATTCCTTTCACAACTTTTCTGTGAAGCATCTTCGCCAAGGAACAAACAGCTTAATATAGGTTCTTGCACAAAAATACCGACCTGAGCACAGAATGCTTCCCTAATGTCCATATTTCCATTAAGTAACAGATACTGAAAGCATCTCCTCCATTCGGATCTTGTTCTGACCAGAACATCTGAAGCTGTGTGCCCAAGAATTCTTTGAATTACTTCCACACAGGCTAGTTGAATATCTTCAGAAGACTCGTCATAGAGAAGTTTAAAATACAGGGATTGAAGGTGAATGTAATCACAATGACGATCCATTTGCATGCACCCCACTTCAGGAGGTCGTATGATTCTGGAATGTTCCTCATCTTCGATTTTGGTAGTTTTGTTACACTTTGAACAGCGGAAGCCTTGAACTAGATAGTTTAGAGTCTCATCTCTCTTCATATTTTCACTTTGGAACAAGTGGCAGACCCTTTTATCTGAACCAATAGGACTGGATCCATGAAGGCATGACAAGAAACCAAGAGAATGTGGAAGGGCCTTCTTAACCGTTACATGCTCCTCGGTCAACAAGCACCTATGAGTGCAAGGCAAAAACAAAGATATCCCTTTTTCAGTAATCGGAAGCCAAACAGCAATAAAAGTTTAGACTATAATGTCATGTTCTTCATCACTTACTCCATCTTTCCAAAGATATGTGGTAGAGCACCAAGCCCAGAGAAGAGAACAATTAGTGGCATGGATACGACAGCTTCAGCTCTTACTTGCTCAGAATCATCAAAAAGAGCCATATCAAAGAGATCAAAACCAGCCTCATTACTTAAAACTGAACCTAGCTTTGTCGATATCCGCACAGATATACATTTTGACTTCAACAAAGAATTAGGCTTCTTAAACAGCAGAAAATGCGTCCAAGGGAGCTTCAGCACAACTTTTATAGCTTCCAAGGCATCGCCTTTGTTTATAAACTCATAATTCTCTGGAGAAAACGGAACAGAATATTAGGAGATACCAGATTTATGATTAGGAAAACAGATAAGAGAATTGACTGATAGCAGTAAGGTTTTGTTCTCATGGAAAGTTACCAGGCATGAGCAACAGATTGTGAATTCCTTCCAAGTAGGTGGAAACATCAAAGGTGATTGGAATGCCTTTGTCAGCCTACATAAGAGTCTCTTAAAAACTGAGAAAATGAAGATGTCGACAAAAGAATAGGGAATTCAATGCTCACCAGCTCGGCTATCCAAGGAAGCCACGTATACATATGGTGAAACAAGCGATGAGAGATGCCAGTCCACGGATACATATAAAATGCATCGCTGAGAATGGTAAGTGCCATTATTGCAATTTCAGGCCCCACAGTGTCAGTTTGCACAGGTGGAGGCTTTAAAGTTTCTATAATGGAAATAAGCATCCTATGCAGAATATCAGCATATTTTCCCTCGGTCTCATCAGCACCTACTGGAACAAGGTTAACCTCTGAGAGAGTATCCACACTGAAATGTTTAGAATCTGCACCAACCTTCTGGCGCTTGCTTCTGGAGGTACTTTCATCCTTTATATGCCTTTTCTCTCCCACCTTAGATTCCTGAGGAGGTCTTTCGCTTCCTGCAGATATATGGCTGTGACAATTTGGTGGCTTCCCTCCAACATGATCAGGTCCCAGAACAGCAATAACTGCTTTAAAACAGCCCATCAATTGTAAGCATGGCTCTGAAAGATGAAGTAACTCTACAAGGCATCGCGGCCTCCAAATGCAAGGAGGACACGTTTTCACAATCCGCACATATGCACTGCACAGTGCAGCCTGCATACATAAAAATGCCAAATGAATTGTTAACAGGTTGTTGAAAGAACAACTATAGCAAGAAAACAAAAATGACCGAAAAAACAGGGAATCAATCATGTCTAAGGACAAAGAGAACCACACATACCTTAAGTTCCTCACTCTTTGTTCTCCGCATTGCTTGAGGGAAGACCAACGCTAAACTTTCTGCAGTTAGCTTGACGTCGGCATCAGAGCAGCTGGAATATACTGACATAAGGCAACGGCCGATGGTGGAATCATACATCACATTTCTGCATCATAAACCCACAACTTAAAAAGTTGAAGGTTAATCAACATATACCATATATATTGCACACTAAAACTATCAAAAGTTGACTACAAGCCTAAGAAATGCAATAATATACAGATATTCCAGGAAGTTCACAGGGAAAGGTAACACACTTTTGGGGGGGAAAATAGCTTAATTAGAATCATGAAAGTAGAAACAGAGAACTCAATTTTGATATCTTGGGGCACACACCTGTATGCAGGAAATCCTTCACCGTCTGATCGTAAAAGGAGGATGATTGACTGTATTAAGCCCACGTGAGGAAGGATGTTAAAATTGAGTATTGATCCGGCCAGACATGCAAAGTCAAAACATGCCTTCGACAAAGAAAAAATGTCAGATTACAATAAGCTGAAATCATCTTGTGCTTGAAGAAAAAGAAATGTGTCAGTGACATCACAGCCAAATTAGATAAGATGGAATTATGAAGCTTATGATCAGAGTGTAACTCACCATCTGTAAATCGGCACTGCCATAGCAAATTAAAGAACAAGCAGCCTTAGTGAATGATGTATGGATGAGACCCTCCACATAGAGTGTCCCTTCAGTTAGGCATTTGCAGATGAGCTTAATCATACAAGTAGCAAAAGGTTGCCATCTCTCACTTCCCAATAAGTTCAACACAATACCATCCCCATCTCTGGGCTTATTAACATCCAGGAGATCACAGAGACGACATGATTCAACCCAAATTCCAGAAAAAGGCATACGGAAACACCTAAATGGAAGATGAAGATTGCATTGTCCTGGGTCATTGGAATAAAGTGATGCGATATGTTGCAATTCTGGATAAATACAATGGGATGTCAGTCCAGCATAAGTAGAAAGTATTTCAGGAATTATAGTTTTCATTAAATTAGCATTCCTAGAGTCGGTTTGTCATATAAAATGTCTCCACCTACAAAACGGGGAAAACACTTATTTTCACTTCCAGAACAGGAAGGGGTCTGGTTTGTGTAAAACATCACAATCACCATGAAATTAGAGTGAAAGGTTAACGGCCGAAAACCGTGACCAAACTCCATGAATTTTCTCATTCATAAGATATAACTTCCAAAATCTTACTCTCACCTTCAATGACCTGCAAAGCATCATGGAAAAACATACGGTATGCCTTCCTTGAGTTGGAACGTAGCAACATTAAGAGAGAACCAACTGTTTCAAGAATCACCCCATGTCCAGGACTGCAATTTGTTTAAAGGAGCTGACATTAAAATAACACTACAAAAAAATGAAACATACAAACCAACATCACCTGGATCACTGTATGCTCATATCTATGGTATGGATATCGAGAGTGGTGACAGCCCTAGCTTGAAGCTATGGTATGGATGAGTGTGGCAACAGTCCCAACCAATACTGGTACAAACAATTAGGTATGACAAGTTTTCACATTGAAAAGCCTATGGGCGTCATTCTAATAGGAAGACATCCATGAGGAGAATATATCAAATCAGAACCTTTAATGTAAGACCGGTAAGAGGTGGATGATTTCGGAAATGTAATATCAATATATTGTGGTGCAGACAACCGAAACCAAAGTATAGATGGACAGCTAAAAATCCCAGTATCTGGGTAACAGCCAAAGAAACTTAATCAAACAACTTACACAAATGCTGGTTCAGCAAAGAAGGGCAGAATCCGACCAATTACAGGAAAAATAGCAGCAGGGTTTCCGTGATGGAAGACCCCAGGAAAGTTCTTTGCGGTATTACTGACAAGCTTAAGGACAGCTGTAACTTCTCTCCCGTTGCCTGAGAAAGATGTTAAAACCCAGACCGGAGTAAGAACTAGAAAGCCCATTTCCAAGAGTAATAATTCCACAATCCAAATAGACAGCAAAATTCAAGCACTGAAATCTCGAAATCCATCGATTCACGGGTTTCACCGAATACAAGACACGCTGGCGCAATTTCTCCATGGAAAATGAATCGAAGGAGATGAAGAGAACGTCATGATCATACGAAACGACAAAGGACCGGAGGAAAAGCGAAGCAGTTAAAAGTGAGACAAGGAAAGAGGGGGAGAAAAGGTACCGAGAGAAGGGACGACATAGGTATTCAGGAGATTAGGGATGACAGCACGAAAACGGAGCTCAAGAGCATCGTCGTCAGAAGAGGAGTCACGGAGGCTGTTGGCAGAAGTGGAGGACGATGCGGCGACTCGTTCACGGAGTTCGTGAACCAAGCTCGACAGATTACTGTTGTTCGCCATTTCCTTCCCCAAGAAGCTCTCTCTCTCTCTTCCCTCCCAAAATTTAAAGGGAAAATTTTAATTTCACAGATTATTTTTTAAAATGTTAGAAAAAGGAAGAAATTAAGACTACGGATGATTGAACCCTTGTTTCCATCAACAACACCACCATTTACATATTCGATACTAACAAGTAACAACAACAACGCATACTCTTGGTGCGAGAATGACAAATTACAAAAGAGCATTCACTTAGTTTTGTCCATTTGGGAGTTGGCCGTTGAGTTCAACTGTGTTGGGTGTTGTTCGTAGGATCACATCGTACGTGTGCCATGTGTTGTCTTTCGTTACAAATCCAATCACCCACCCCCACCTTCACCACATGCCTTGAATTAATACAGCAATAGATGTTGTGTTACAACTTACAATGGACCAAATAAACCAATTTTATAAAAGACATGAAACAAGAAGAATCACGAGAGTGTAGCTCTCACCAAAAATATAAATAAACAATAGAGAGTCAGTCACAGTCCCACACCAAAGTGAAAAGGGATTGTTGTTTCAGTGGTGGCTGCTTCTCCTCAGGGCCGAGAAGATACCTCCCGTCGACCTCCTCTTCTCCTCGTTCTCTTCCCCCACCTACACATATATACACAACTTCAGTTTCCACAAAGAACTCTCCTTCCATACAACCCTTACTGTAACTGCTAAACTTACCTCCTTGGCAATGTGCTGCAGAATTCCTAGTATCTCCGAGAAGTCCGGTCTCAGTTCCGGATCCTGTTGCCAGCATCTCTCTAGTAACTCCCCTATTTTCGGATGCGTGTTCTTCGGTATTGTTGGCCTTAACCCCTACTTGTTTTTATAAAATCAACCCCACCCATCCATCAGCAGGCAACTCATAC